ACGAAATGTTCTTAGAACCCACCAATGTTCAATGTTCTAAGAACAAAAGCATTGCTCTTAGCACATAAACCCGATGTGTTGCAACACGACAGCCCCGGCCAGAAATGTTCTGAGAACGTTTCGTGGACACCACCGAAAGGTTCTTGGAGCATTGTCTGGTGGGGCTCTAGGCGAGCCAGGACGCTTCGCCACTGCTTGGTGTGAGAGAGCGCTGGAACTCCTGCGCAGCCCAGAGGCTGGGCACGCCTTCAGTCGGGCCTGTCCCCCTGTAGGGGGACAGGCCCGACTTCAGGCTGGGCACGCCGCGGCGCGGCGCGGCCAGCACGGCACGGCACGGCGCGCCGGCCGGCAGCCTCTGCCGCACGGCACGGGCACGGCACGGCGGGCCGACCCGACCGGGCGCGGCGCGCGGGCCGACCCAGCGCGGCGCGGCGCGGCACGGCGTGCGGGCACGGCGCGGCGCGGCGCGGCGGGCGGCAGCCCGTCTCGCGCTCGGGGTGCCCAGCTCCTCCTCCTCCTCCTCCTCCTCCTCCTCCTCCCCGCCTCCGCCTCGCCTCCCTCCTCCTTCCTCCTCCTCCTCATCCTCCTCCTCTCCTCCTCCTCCTCCTCCTAGGTCGCCGCCCCGACAGGAGCTGAGGCCCCTTGCAGCACGCGTCGTTGGGCGCTGCCTCGACGCTGCGGGACACTGGGGGCTCTTGAGCAATCGCTCTCTCCTTTTGGGCGCTCCTGGGGCCCTGCTCCTGGCGCCGTCTTGGGGGGCAGGTTGGGCCGGGCCTCAGGCTTGGGGGCGTGGACCTGCCTGCTCTGGCTCTGCCTGCTCCAAACCCTGACCGCAAGCACACTGTTCAGACGATTTCTGCCGCCGGGGGGGGAGGGCTGGTCGTGGATCGTCCACGTGTCCCAGGATGTCCAGGGGTAGCTCTGAGCTGGCCCAAGATAGCACCACACTGCCTGCGAGACGGCACATGTCTCACTCCAGCATGCTTCTATAACGTCCAGCTGCCCTAAAGCCACCCGCGGATACGCCCGAACGCAAATAATGTTGAGCATTCGCCAAATACATGTCAAGGATATCCGCTTTCCTCGCCATTTCGGCTCCCGATGGGCATCCTAGGCTTCAACATGGTCCCGAGATTGCCCAATAAGGCCTCCTCGGGGGCCCATAGGAGAACCCAATCTGTCCTTCAACGCTCCCCACGCCTCCGAGAAAAAGGCCCGGTGGCCTCCAGCACGGCCCGAAGGCGCAATCTAGGTGGCGCAGCACGAGGTGCCCAACGGCTCCCACAAGGGCCCAACAAGATAGAGGCTTCCAACAGCGTCCCAGATTGCCCCAAACTGCCGCCCTTTGGTGGCTTTTTTGGGCTGCTCCTTCTCTTGACTAGACTGGTGTCACTACACGTCGTTCATGTCTAATCGTGCTCATGTCTAGTTGTACTCGTACCATGTGTAACTCTGGGAACCGTTTCTGGATGGGTTTGGCGAAGCATCATTATTCAACATGTGGTAGTGCGTCGCCCATATCGAAAACGAGGGAATGATACCACCGGTGGCGCGCATACTTACTTCGAACGTGCCGTGGCAATGCCGTGCCAATCACTGCACGTCCTGCTGAAATGAAAGATGCAGTGTTATGCAAGGCACGCGTCCCAGACTGCACATTGCGCCACTTGGCTATGTGCCTCACTCACCCCATCCCGTGCAATCGCCGCCACACTGGCAAAATGACTACAACAGATGATCGGACACACACGACGGCAGTGTCACGGGCTCGCCTCGGGTACATCCGCCGACCCCCCGGCGTGTGTGTGATACGCAGTCGTCGTCTTCGTCGTCTTCGTCGCCGTCGCCAGTCCCAAGGAACTGCCAGAACGAGCACAAAAAAGAAACGTTGTAGTTCAGTCGATTTCCTCCCCCTTTCCCCTCCCTCAGGGGGGGGGGCAGGGCGGGGAGGGGGGGTTAGGACGGTGGGGGGGGGGGGCACGAGCGGGGTCCCCAGGGTCAGATCACCGCCACCCCCGGGGTCCTGGCGGCCCTCCCTCTCCTCCCTGCCCCCCTGGTGGACCAGAAGGACAGGGAGGGGGGGGCCCCTGCGGGTGGGGGGTCCTCCTCCTCCTCCTCCTCCTCCTCCTCCTCCTCCTCCTCCTCCTCCTCCTCCTCCTCCTCCTCCTCCTGCCTCCTCCTCCTCACTCCTCCTCCTCCTCTATCCTTCCTCCTGGGAAGGGAAGTCTTGGGGGAGGTCCGCCTGCGGTGGGGCAGGGTGGCCCTGGGTCCGAATGCCGCCCGCCCCCCCCCCCCCCTGGGTCCAGGCGGATCCCGGGCTTGGGCGCCCGCGGGGGTCCCCGGGGAGGCCCCGCCGCAAGGGGCCGGCGGCGCAGGGCCGCAAGAGGCCCCTCACGGGACGGACCGGGACGCCCACGGCGAGTCGCAGGGCTCCTCCTCCTCCTCTCCTTCCCCTCCACCTCCCCCTCTCCTCCTCCTCCTCCTCCTCCTCCTCCTCCTCCGCCTTCCCCTGCTCCTCCTCCTCCTCCTCAGGCCGCGTCCTGAGGGTAGTACAGTAAGCGCCCTCCAGTGAACTCGCCCAGGGTTCTGATGATGGACGGGCCAGCGTTGCGAGTGTCCCTCGGCGCCGCGGCAGCAGGGCGAGGGCGAGCTTCGACACCGCCAGCATGGAAGCGACGCACGACGGTGGATGGCACGAGGGGCCAAACATGGGGCTGACGAGCAGCAGACAAGGATCTGGGCGGCGAGATTGTGGACAATGCAGTGGGCGACGGGGGTGCAAGCTGTGTGTGGCCCATCTGTGGGCGACAAGCACCTCTGACAGTGTGGACAACAGCGAAACCAAGAAGAAGTTATGACCAGAGTCGACGATACAATATTTACCCAAGGCCCCTGACGAGCCGCATCGATCTGTGAGCTCCCTGGGCCTCCAGACAAAAATCTCAGTCGTGGTCTTCCCTCGCACAGCCGAGAGGTCTGGGCCTCCTCCTCCTGGAGGGCGATGGGGACCCCCCATCCGGCCCCCCTCGAGAATGACTCCTGGACCTGCCCTATAGGACAAAAAAGGGGGGGGACAAAAAATGTCTCCTGGACCTGTCCTATAGGACAAAAAATGTCTCCTGGACCTGTCCTATAGGACAAAAAATGACTCCTGGACCTGTCCTATAGGACAAAAAATGTCCTATGTCACCCTTTGTTCCCCTATAGGGGAACAGAAAGTGGCATAAACATAACAACTCGGAGGTCCGCGCGGATTTCTCGGATCGGCGCTGGACCCCCCTCCCTGGCGCGCGGAGCGCGCCAGGGGCGGCGCCGGAGGCGCCGCCGGGGGGCCCCAGCGCCGATCCGAGGAATCCGCGCGGACCTCCGAGTTCTTATGGTTATGCCACTTTTTGTTCCCCTGTGTCCCGCATCGCGCTCAGACCAGGACTTTGAGGCGAGCCCCGCCGCGGTGACGAGGGCCCCGCCAAGGAGGCCCGAGCACGCCAGAGGCAGAGGAGAGCCTTGCGCCCTCCTCGAGGGGAGCAGCGACAACGACGACGATCCGTGCCTTCGACAATTTTCCAATATTTTTTCCTGTGCTTTTTGGGTTTTCGTCTTCCCCCATATTTTCCCATATTTCCAATATTTTCTTGGTTTTTGTCTTCCCCCCCACTTCCCATATTTTCCCATATCTTCTGGGGAATCGACGATTAATTGTGTCTGTGTGTTTTTTCCCCTCCTGATTTCTGGAGTCGCTGGCTGCTGCAGCGCTTCCAACCTCTTCATCCTGGGCCAATGCTTGCAGTCTGGGGGCGCGGAAGCAGCCCACGGTCGCCGAAAACTGCCAACGTTTTCTTACTCGACGATTCGACATTGGGCGGAAGGGGGGGAGGGGGGGGGTTGGCTCCGGACCTCTGCTTAATGCCACTGTTTGCAATCGAGCGTCCTATGGGGGAGACTCCACCTGCTCGAAACAGGCGCCACAAACAGCCAAGATCTACTCCATGGCGGGTGGAAGGGGGGGGTGCGAGGGCCCGCGCAGATCGGCAAAGCAATGAATCAGAAAACGATCACATTATGGGAAGCCTCGGGCGTGATGTTTTGCAAGTCGCCAAGAAGGCCTGGGTTCCCAGAGGTCCCTGACATGTTCCAGGGGGTCCTCAGAGGTCTACTGGAGGCCTCCGAAGCCTCTGAAGGACGCAGACGCCTCGCGAGCATCAGGGATTGGCCAACGATTGCGAAGACCGCGAGCCTACGAGATTGGCCCGCATCTGCTGTGATGCATCCGGGAGGTGCCACGGATCCCCGAGGAACGCGACGAGAACGCGCTGCTCTTGCGGCGGCGCTGCCGCAAGGGCGAACAGCATACTGGTGCCCACACCGCCGGACGCGGGACGCCACCGTGCTGGCGGACACAGCCACGACGCTGGCGGACACACTGCGATCGATGTTATGTTCATGCCTCTGCGCACGCTCCATTGCCGCGAGGGCCGCCAGAGCGGCGGGGCATGGATCGAGTTCTCGCCCCTGGAGCCACGTTTTTGGCACCCAGGCCCTGCTTCCCCTGGGGCCTGGAAAGGGGGGCCGCAGCAGGGGTATGGATCGAGCGTCCATCGTCGACCGTGATCGGGGCATTTTCAGACGCGCTCTCGCGGAGCTTTCTGCCGTAAGGATGCCGCCTCCCCGCCGCGCGCGAGTGCCGCGCGAGGCCCCCGCGGCCATGCCGAGCGCGCGGGCGCCGCGGCGCGGCGAGGGCGTGATAACAATGGATGCCATAAGCCTCTCTCCGGGGGGGGTTCGAGGCTCAAGGTTAGAAGATCTGAGTCTTTCACAATGATCATTGTTCTGCTGCTGCTGCTGCTGCTTCCCCTCCTCCCCCTCCTCATCCTCCTCCTCTTCCTTGTCCTCCTTTTCTCCCCTGCAACTCATCTGTTCTTCACTCTCCCTGCTCCTCATCTTCCTCATCCCCATCCTCCTCCTCCTCCTCCTCCTCCTTCTCCTCCTAATCAGGCCCGAGGTCAGCAGGACTCAAGGTAGACCGTGCCCTGGTTGCCCGTCACGGTGATCCAGCCCTTCGCGCCGTCCAGCTTGGCCTTCCCTCGCACGCGCTGCAGCTCGGCCTTCTCGTCCTTCTTCTGGAACTCGTACGCCTCGATCTTCTCGCCCTGGCAGGAGGAGGGCGGGCGAGCGACGGCGGAGAGCGACGGCGATGAAGGCGAGAGACGGCGACAGTGCCGAGCGACCGCGACAGAGAGCGCGACGGCGAAGCAGAGCGAGCGAGGGTGGCGGCCGACGGCGATGAGCGGCGGTGAGCGGCGACCGCGGCGGCGAGCGACGACGGCAAGCGGCGATGGCGACGAGCGACGGCGAGCAGCGAAGGTCGGTGGTCGCCTCCGCCATCGGCCGAGTTCGGTGAGCAAAGAAGGGCTCGACCAGCACGGTATGTGTTGTCTTCGTTTTGCTTTCGTCTTCCCTCGCCTTGTGCCTCGATCCGCCCTTGCTGCAAAACGACACCGGAACCGAACCGGCCCCCGAAATCGCCCAAACACCGTCTAGGTCGGCACCTGGGCGAACTCGGCCGCCCCGATCGGCAACACGCAACCCGGCGCGTGCTGGCACGGAGCTCCGCAAGCCGACCGAAAGCGTACGCCTGGCGCGGCACGTTCGCCGGCACGTGGGTCGGCACGCGGCGCCGACCCGTCACGGGTGTGTACCCCGACCGTGTTGAGCGCGGTAAGACTTGCGTTTCCGAACGGGGGCATCAAGGCAAGCATGGTGGTGAATGATCCTTGGCCTCTGGAGGCCTCCGTGGAGAGCTGCTCCCCAAACGGCGCGCGCACTTGGCTGCTGGATGGTTGGCCTTCGGTTCCTGGTTTTCGCCCAGCTCCCGCCCGTGGCCGCCTCGTGGTCGCCCCGTGAGCCGGCTGGCGGTTCCGCAATCTCGTCTGGTGCCCGACAATGGCCGCCTCGTCGGCGCCACTACAAAGATTGCACCACTCAGATTGCACCACATCAGACCGTACCCCTCGCTTTGCACCACATAAGGTGCGCCACACATATTGCCCCACATCGGTTCCACCACATCTTTCGCACACCACAAGTTGCATCGCATCCTCATGTCTCATACACATATTGCACATCGACATTGCAATGAACTGCTGCTTGTGATCCACGCTGGTTAACATTGGCCCTGGGAAGCGGGATGAAATGGAGTGAACAACTCAGCAGCGTAAGTCTGGGAGACCGAAGTTGTCCACTTCGATTTGTTCAACGAACCCCCCTCCCCATCCGACCTTGGCGACCTGCCGGATGGTCTTGCTGTCCTTGATGACCGGGCCGTCTGTCAGCGACGTCTCCTTGCCAGGGGCTCCCAACCCCTCTGGTGACAGATGGTCCGATGACCTCGCAGTCCCGAAGACCTCACTGGACGCCCTGCCACCAGACGACTTGGGACCCAAGGCGGCCCGAGGTGCTCGAGACCCCCTCGGAGAACGGTCCGGGTACCAAAACCACCCGCTCGCCGCCCTGGAACACCTCCGACTCACCAGATGGCGTGTGGTCGCTGGACAGTTTTGGCACCTACGCCCTTTCCAAGGAGCAGAAAGCAACATTCACCATACAATTTCGAGATCTGCGCGGATTTCTTGGATTGGCGCTGGACCCACCCTCCCCTGCAAGCTGTTTTGCATACTACTTCGAACCTTGACACAAGTGAAGATGTTGCCCCCGGGCTGCAGGAAGGCCGTGCCCTGGTTGCCGGCGATCGTTACGAATCCCACGGCTTCATCGACTGTGGATCGGCACTTCACACGCATGACGCCAGCGCCCTCCTCCTTGGCCGGGGCCTCGAGGGCCTCCAGGACCTCGCCCAGCTCGAGACGCTTCACCGTCTTCGACTTGATCGAGACCTCCTCGCTCAGCACCGTCTGCTTCACGCACTTGTAGTACATCCTCGTCGTCTCCAAAAACTGATCCTTCGTGAGGGTCCTTTCCTCTTTCTCTCCTATGATGTGGTCGAACACCTTTTCGGCCTCGCCGTCTTCGAAAGAGATCTTCTCGAGGCCCTTCAGGAACGTCACAAACTTCTCCTGAGTAAGGGGCTCTCCACCGTTGATCTCGTCGAACTGCTGCTCGCCTGTCTTGCCGTCGGCCGTCATTTTTGCCCTCAGAGCTTCCACCGCGTCCGATTTCTTGCTGTCCAACTCGGCATAGGCCTTGTGCACCGCCTTCTCCCTAGCACTGGCGATAGCAGAGGTGATCTTCTCAATGCGGTACGTGGCCCTCTCATGCCTCGACTTGAGCCTGGGCACGTCCTTCTTGTCGAAGTCGCGCAGGCCGTCGTTGGATGCGCACGTCTCCTGAAGGGCCTTCAGCTTCTCCATCGCAGCCGCAAACGCCTGCGCTGCCTCCTTGCATGCCGACTCTGCCGCGCCCGCGGTCTCCTTGATCTTGTCCGCAGTCATCTCGGCGTCATTGGAGAACGCTCTGGATTCGGTCTCGGCGTTGTTGAGCACCGCCTCCGCCGAACCCATGGCCTCGCTGATCTCGTCCGAGGCCTTCCGGGCCTCCGCCCTCTGCTCCTCGAGCACCCTCTGCCTCTCCTTCTCCGCGGCGCGCTCCTCGCGCACCTTCACCTCCGACTTGGCGATGGAGATCTTCTGGTGGAGGGAGCGGAACTTCTCGAAGGTGACTGGCTCCAATATCCTCGCGACTTTCTCACGGGTTTCGCGCGAGGTGGCGCCAGGTGGTGGTGGTGACAATGGTGGTGACGACGATTCTTCGAACGTGGACCGATGGCAATGAGGGCTGACAATCGATGGAGACCAGTGTGCTGGCCAATTTGCCAATGAATTTAGTCCAGATGTTCGGTAAGCCGGCACAGTACACGGTATCTGGCGCACTGGATGCCATACAGTCGGGGCCCTGAAGAAGGAACCCTTTTGGTTGGGGAGGGGCTCCGCGTTCCTTAAGTGTTTCACAGCTTGCCTCAGGTTTTCCATATGTTTTCGATGGGAAATCGAAGTTTAACTTATGGAAAAAAGGCCTCGTTCCTTATTTAGGGTTCCTTAGGTCAACGCCCCAACTGTACCAGCATGGAGATGGGCGTCTGGAGACCTCCTAGGCTGTTTGGGGACTCTCGCCGGCTGCTTGGAGCCCTCAGGGAACCCTCTTGGGGCGTCTTGGTGCCCTCTTGGGCTGCAGTGGGCCCCTATTGAATCGTCTTGGGCCCCTCTTAACACCTCTTGGTAGTCTTTTGGGCCACCTGGGGGCGGGCTGGATGATCTCGTAGGCCCTCTTGGAAGCTCTGAAAGTCGAGTCCACGAGTGCGACAAGACTGTGCAAAACACATGTGGGGAATCATGGATCAATGCCTCCCGGTGGCCTCTTGGGGGCCCTCTTCGAGTCCCCTCGGACGTTCGAGGGACCAGTTGGGCCGTCTCGCGGCTACCTTAGGCCGTCTTTGGCCCGTCTTGGCTGTCTTCGGGGCCTCTTCGGAACATCTTGGGGAACTCTTCGGCCATCTCGGGCAGTCTTGGGCCCTCCCAGGGCGTCCACGATTCAGACACCGCGGTTGTGCCCAAGTTGTATCGGATCAGTTTTCTGCGCACACGGGAGTTCATTGTATTACAACATCATGCTTCACACAGAAGCGTATTCACATCCATGGCTACATGTGTATGCAGATGTGTACATGTATAACTGTATGTACACGTGATTGTGATTGTAGGTAAATGTGTTTGTCCACGTCGAGCTTCAAACAGCTATCCTCAAGATTTTGTCGAGAGCATCGTGTGGGCACTCGAAGCCGCCGTGCTCGCCCACGCAGAGCGAGATGATCTCGTCGCGACTGAGCTTCCCGTCCTGATCTGCGTCGTACTTGCTGAACTTCTCCTTCCTTATCGCCTTGATGGCAAGGGCCTCCGCTTTGCACTTCGCGCGCCCGCGCGACTCCTTGGCCTGCTGCAGCAGCTTGTCCAGCGACCGCCTGCCCTCCGCCAGCGTCCTCTGCAGCTCCTTGTAGTCCCTCCAGATCGCCCTGGACGCCTCGTTGTCGCCCATCTCCGTCTCCTTCTCCTTCAGCGCCTCCTGCGCCTTCTGCACCACGGCCGTCGCCGCCTCCACCACCTTCTCCGTGGTGCCTGCAGCCTCGAGCATCTCCTCTGGATCCCCGCTCTTGGCCCCGCCCATCGCCGCCTCGGCCTGCTCCTGTGGGCGGCGAGGTCCGGGGCGGGGGGGGAGAAGCGAGACGGGGCGGGCCTTCGCAGAAGGCTCGAAGTCCCCCGGCCTTCCGAGAAGTGCCCTGAGCCTTCCCCCCGAAGACGCAGATCCTCTTCTCGGAGGGCGCGGGGGCTTCGGAGAAGCCCCGCCAGAGAAGGCCTTCTCCTTCTCTGGAGGCTTGGGAGGCTTCTAGGGAAGGCCTTCTCCTTCTCCAGAGGCCTCCCAGATGGGGTCCGAGTAGATGGGTCGACGGATCGCGCCGCATCGGCTATACATCGGAGATGCATCGCCGATGCATCAGCGAGGCATCGTCGACGTGGGCAATGCATGGGCGAGGTAGCCGTGAAGCAAATCGGGCTCCGCACTGGCGACGCATCGGCGATGCGGCGCGATCCTCTGACCCCATCTAGGATTGTGGATGCCATGACAATGGACACTCTAGCAATCCGATCATTGAATTCAAATGTGCTTAAACTGTAGGAGCATGTTCTAAACATGTTTCGAGCTTTTACATGCTTAAAACATGTTGGAAGCATGCTTCAGACGCCTGGGAACCATCTGGCAGCATGCTCCCTCTCCATGGATCGACTTCCACAAATCTAGGAGGCCCAGAGGTTCTCACTCCCCCCCTCGCTCGCCGCCTACAGTCGAGGCGTTGACCTAAAGAACCCTAAATTCGCCGGCCCAACGGGCCAGAGGCGTGCTAAGATCTCCGGTAACTGGTTAACAATTCTCTAGTTCGCGCGCGCGGGGCGGCCCCTGGGGGTCCCCGGGCGGAAAGTACCCCGGCAAGGTCCTGAGAGAGTCCCGGGAGGAGTCCCCCAGAGCGCTCCAGGAGCGCTCCATGAGCGCACCAACAGGGCTCCGAGACGTCCCCGAGAGCCCCAAGAAAGGCCAAGAGGCCCCCAAGAGGCCCCCAAGATGGTACACGAGGGGTCCGACATGCCACAAGATCGCTCCAAGACGCCCAAGATAGCCCCCAGACGCCCCAAGAGGCCTCCAAGAGCACTCCCAAGAGGGCCCCCGGAGGCAAAATTCATTGTTTTTCCTTAGGTTTTTGAGAGATTTTGGAGCTTCCACCTGTTCGGCTTCCCGACGCCCCAAGACGGCCCAAGAGGCCCCCAAGATCGCCCCAAGAGGGCCCAAGAGGCCCCCAAGAGGGCCCCAAGATGGCCCAAGAGGGCTCGAAGACGGCCCAAGAAGCCTCCAAGACGGTCCAAGAGGGCCCCAAGAACGCCCCCAAAGGGGCCCCAGAGAGGGAACACGAAACAACATTTCGAGCCCTCGGCCCTAAGAAGCCCCTACGAGGCCCCAAGAGGCCCCTAAGAGGCTTTTTTTTTTCACCCCAGATCCAGCGCCGCGGACTCCGCCACGCTGGAGGCTTGCCGCACTGAGCTCAGTGCGGCCCCGCGAGGCCCGCGGGCCTCACCCACCTCTCCTCGTGGGCACCATCTCGGCGGGGAGCGGCCTGCCCGTCTGCGGGTGGCAGCCGCGGAGGATGCGGTCCCGCCTCTTCCTCCTGGAGTCCGCTCCTCCGTCGGCCCCTCGCCGCGGCAGGGGCCCAGGACAGGCGCGGCCCAAGCTGGCCCTCCTCACCGCCGAGTGGGCCCCGCACACGCGGCAGACGACGTAGGGGCCGACGACCTCCACGACATGCGCCATCCTGAGATCCTCCTCGGCGCTCGGCGGGCCCTCGAGGACAGGCACGTCCGCCGCCTCCCTGCATCTCCGAGGCGACCTCGACCTCCGAGGTGACCTCCCTGCAGCACTGCCGTCTTCTCCATCATCTCCGCCTGCAGCTGCCGCCGCCACCGCCGCGCCAGCGCAGGCCGCCGCCGCCCCCAAGGCGCCGCCAGCCCCACGCCCTGCAGCCGTGGACGCCTCCTGCCTTGCAGCCCTCTGCCTCCGCGCGCATGCGGCTCCCACTCTAGCCTCCAGCGAGCCCCGCTCCTCGCTGGACTGGTGGCCCACCGCCTGCCAGGGAGGGGGCGCGCAAGCGGAGGCCCACAGCTTCTTCCTCATCCTGGCCGAAGCTGCACGCTTGCCGCACCGCGTGCACACCAGCCAAGCTCCACACACCTCGACCTCGTGCCTCGTGAGGCTGACGTAGGGCCTCTGCTGCTTCCTCCTTCTGCTCGGCCCCGTCCTGGGCGGCACGTCGGGCCATCCTTCCTTCATCTCCTGGTACCACCAGCCGATGTTCTGGATGGCCCACTTCACCTTCTCATCCAGGCTCTCCAGGGTCTGCTCCCTGCCGTGCCCGAAGTCCTCCGCGGCCCCACGCTTGGCCAGGGCGTCCACCGCCTCATTGCCCCTGGCCACTTGCTGCGCCAAGCCCTCGAGCCTGCTGATGGCCGCTCTGGACCTGTGGGCCTTCACATGCATCACCCACTCTGGCTCAAGCCCCACGTCCGCGATCTTGTGCCAGATCCTCCTCCAGACGTCCGCGTGCGGCCTTCCCCAGCTTAAGCACCACCTCGGCCCCCTCCTGATGCCGTCAAGGATGCCCTGGTGGTCCGTGAAGATCCTGCACGGCGGCAGCACCGTCTCCAAGGTCTTTAAGAAAGCCCACATCTCGGCCCTCTTGACCGTCTTCTGCTCCTTGAAGCGGCATGGCAGGGGGCCCCAGAGCTGCACCGTGGGGGCGCCTCCCGCGTCGATGGCCATCGCGGCCCACCCCGCCTGCGCCCAGCAGCTGGTGCCCAGCTTGGAGCCGTCGCACACGATGTCGCCCGACAGGAGGGCGTCCGTCCCCTGGAGGACGTCGCTGTGGAAGTCCGCCTCGTCGACCGACCTGTGGGCCCAGTCCGCCGAGGGGTCCCGCGCCAGCCCACGCGTCCAGAGCAAACTGTCCTCCTGCTGCTCCGCCACGTGCTGCCACTCCGCCTGCGCTCGCCTCCTGACCTCGAGCAGCGCGGGGCACCGAAAGAAACGATGATGCGGGGTGCCGACCGCCAGCCCACACCCAATGCAGATGTCGGTCGGCGTGATGCTGACCTCGGCAAGCCTGCTCATGGTCCAGGCCCCCGCCAGCACCACCTTCCGAGCCGCCCGCTTCGCATGCGCAGGGAAAGCCCTCGCGGCCAGCTGCGCCACCACTGGCGGGAGCCTCGGGCCTGGGGCTAGGCTCTCCATGCCTGGCTGCTGCGCCGTCCACTGCTCCCACAGCACTCTGCGCAGGTCAGCCCTGAGGAGCGCCCCGACGTCAGTGGGGCACACCGCCGTGAGGTCCACCATCTCGCCGTCCTTTGTGCAGTAAACCGTCCACGACGGCCAGGTCCACCTCGCTCTCCTCAGTGACATGATGACCGCCCCCGCGGGTCCTTTGACCTTGGCCCACTGCGGGCTCATGCCCACCTCCTTCTGCTGCTGCCTCCACGCGTTGCTCATCTGCTCACTCAGGAGGACAGCCTCACTGCCAACACTCGTCCTCCTGCTTATCTTGTCCTCCGCGATCTCCATTTGGTTGCCCGCCACCAGCAGCAGCTCGACCAGGCTCTCAATGGTGCTGACACCAAGGTATCCTTCCTCTTCCCGCATGCCTCCTTCGCTTCCTTCCCAGGGACATTGCGCCCTTCTCGACGCCAGCAGCCGCCGCACCACCTTCTGCAGCGCGACCTGCTCTTGCCTGTACTGCGAGATGACCTGGGCGCGGCAATCCTCGTCGAGCGCGTCGAGGTAACGGAAGGCTGCACGCCTTCTCCAGCACGCCCTCCGCCACGCACGCCGACACACTTCTGCAGCAAGACACTCCGCCTCCTGAGCCTCCTCCTGGGGCAAGCTTCCACCTGTGGCCTTGGGAACCGCCGCCCTCCTGAGTTCACTGCGGAGGCCTGCCTGCGCTGCCTCCTGCAGGTACTCCGCGACCAGGGGAACACTCCACTGGCACCAGTCCTCCTGCCGCTGGTGCTTCTCGCCCCTCAGATCCTTGATCCACAGCGCCGTCCAGACACCGAGGGCATCCCTGAGCCTAGCACCCGCCTCAGGCCTGAAGGCCTGCTGGCGACAGGGTTGCACCTGCCCCTGGCCCCCTGCAACGAGCACTCTCAGGTCTCCTGCCACGGCCTGCTCCCAGACGGCCCTCGCCCACCTGACCACTGGCGCAAGTGTGGCCTCCTCGGTGGGGTCCTCCTTCAGCACCGCCAACTGCAGGGTGAGGCTCTTGGCTCCTCTCGTACCTGGAAGCAACTGGCCTGCCGCTCTCCTTACCTGCTGCAGCTGGTGGTCTGGCATGCCCAGGCACTTGCACCCGTGCATTACCGATCTCTTGAGGCCGCACTTGTACACCAAGCCAACCCCTCTAGTCACACCTTTGCCTGAGCCTTTCAGCCCCTTTAGCCTGGCGACCCTGTTCCTCATGCGCTTGAACCTCTTGCCACTCTTGTTCTTGGCCGCCGTCCCGTGGGCCACCACGTCGACTCCGAGGTAAGGGCAGGCCAGCACCAAAGGCAGCCCTCTCTCTGCCGCATCCTGCTTGAGAGCCTGTCTCAGCCACCTGGTGCTGGCCATGACCGCCCCCTTGCCCTGGTCGCCCATGGAGAACTCGAGCCCCAAGGCCGCGAAGCCGTCCACGCTGTCGTCCACAACGGACGGGAAGCTGTCCACGATCCACTGCTGCGCCCCTCGCTGCTTGAGGCACAAATCGTCAACATACATCCTCCATTGCACCAGCGGGTACTCCACAACCAAACCGTCAATCGTGTCCTGTATGACCATCTTGAGGAAACCCACCGAGAACTTGCTGCCCGCGATGATCGTAGCCACTGTCCTCGTCTCCTCCGAGATGGCCTCCCCCGTGTTGACTCGCCTCGCCATGGCAAAGTAGGAGCACACCACCGCCAGCACCCCCGTATTGAAGCCCATGGCCTTACCACGCTCCCACAGCACATGCAAGCTCACCCTCTCGAACGCCTTGACCAGGTCGAGGATAGCCGTCACCGTCGCTAGGGTGCGCGGGTCCGAATCCTGCACCGCGTCGCCCTCGTTGGCGAGGAGAACCTCCCAAGCCGCGTCCTCCGCCGCCTTGCCGAAGGCCGTGCAATCCCAAGAGCGCTGGTTCGCCTTGGCCCACTCGATCATGTAGGGCTCCCTCATGATCTCCCACACCCTCACCAGGGTCGGGAGGAGGCCGATGGCACGATCGACCGCTACGCTCTTCGGGATCAGGAAGAAAATGACCGTGGCTGCATGCAGCGGCCAGACGAGCGTGCGCTCCACCTCCCTCAGGATCTGCAGGAGCGTCCAGTGCGCTGCGTCCGAAGCCCCCTGCAGCATGGCGGGGTGCCAGCGGTCCACTCCTTGTGCTGTCTTTTTCTTGAAGGTGCGCGCCACTTTCTTTAACTTGGCCAAGTCGTCCTCTGTGAACTCTGGCAACTCCTGACGCGGCTCCGTCTCCCACCGCCGCTCCTGCTCCTGCATCGGGTCGTTCACCTTCCAGACTGCGTTCCACTCCCCCAGGGCCGCTTCCGCTGCCCGCAACGGGTCTGCCGAAGCTTGGGGTGTACTCGCTTTCCTCGGCCTCCAAATGTCCACTGGTTTGCTGATTCTGTGGAGTCCGCCCGCTGCTCCTTTCGCAGCCTCCTCCAGCTTCGCAGCCCACTGCCTCCTTCTTTCATTTATCAGGGCCTGGTCCTCCCGCTTGGACCGCTCCTTGGCCTCCAGGATCATCGCGTCCAGGCTGGCTTTCTGGTCAGCACCTCGCCAGCGCCCTTTCGCCAGCAGGGTACACCTTTCTTTCCACCGCTCCTTCTCCTCGCCAACCAGCTCACACCTGAACTCGTGGCTTACGCTCCTGAAGCGTTCCTCCAGATCACTAGCTATCATGCACCACTCCTGGCGCGCGCGGGCACTGCCCGAAGACGACCTGAGCCTCTCGTAGTTCCCCGCCAGGGTCTGCAAAGTGCGCGCGAGCCACCGCCACCACAGAGCGTCTCCTTGCGGGGCTGGGTGGTTGCCGCCTCCTCTGAGGATCGGTCTCTCTTTCCAGCGCGGTGGGTCCGCACGCCCTACGCACTCATGCCTGGGGTGCCACTCCAGCCCCCGCAGCGCGAAAGCCTCGCGCTCCAGCTTGCCAATGAAGGAAGCCCAGGTCCTGGTCGCCGCCGTCACGTCGCTGAACACCCCCACCTCGTCGTATAGGGGCGGCTCAGGCGCGCGCCCGATGCTGATTCCTTCCAACTTCTTCGGCGTGATGAGAATCCGCTCCTTCCTCACCTGCGGCCTCAGGTCGAGCGTGATCCCCACCGGCTTGTGCGGCGCCGAAGGCCAAGACTCGTGGATGGCCACCTTCCTCACTTGGCCTGCCAACTCCCTCGATACTACGAAATAGTCTATTGTGGAACATCCACTCGCAGACCGACAAGTTCCGCTCGCGGCAGAGGGGGCCACCAGCGTCGCGCCAATGAGCTTGATCGAATCCAAACCCGCCAGGACGGCAGGGGCATTCTGGAAGTCCCCGCACAACACCCACGGCATGTTGAGCTCGTGCAGCTTCCCCAACACGTGGTCCATCAGCCCCCTGTTCCGCCGCGACATCTGCTCGGCCGTCCACAGGTACACCGTCGCCACCACGATGCCGCCTCTACCTACTGCTACCCATGCCGCTGCAGCTCTTCCTGGGGATCCTCTGGGGGACCAATCCCAGCTGGTCTGCCCACACACGTACGCCATGCCAATCCTGTTCGGCACCGCGATTCCCACTCCTGCAGAGGTTCCTGGCTCACCCATGGGGCCCAGCGTGGGCACCGCCTCCGCTCCACCAACTTGGTAGCCTCTCTGACGCAAACTGTGGGTAACTCCAGCCCACTGGTCCTCTTTCAGGCGGTGCTCCTGGAAGGCGTAGATGTGCTTCTGCTGCCCCACCTTCTTCTCCAAGAGCTTCTCTCTGATGGTTCCCCATCCCGAGCCGTTGAAAGTCCACACAATGACCACCTGCTTGTCGTCATTCGCCTTGCCAACCAGGAGCCTCATCATGCGGTGGTCGTGCAGGACCCTCGCGTATCCTCGCCACTGGCCCGAGTCTGCCCCCTGACTCCTCGCCGTCGCCGCAGGCACGAAGCCGCGCAACGGCCCCGCGGGCGTGGACCTGGCCACACTTCCCGCCCTCAAGACACCGTGCTCACTCCTCGCCAATGCCGCAGGCCGTGGGCCGCGCCCAGGCCCCGCGGGCGTGGACCTGGCCACACTTCCCGCCCTCTGGCTGGCTCCCGCTGCTCCGCGCCCGCCACGCTCATCATCCATCTGCACTACGTCACGTCGGTGCCCTTCACTCTCGCTCCCCCCGAACTCCGCCTCCCACCCCTCAGGGTTCCAGCGGCTGTCGTCCCAAGGGAGGGTCTTCCCGCTCTGGCGCAGCTGCACCAGGACCGCGCCTCTCCACGGCGACTCGGGGTAGCCGAGGTGGGTCCCATTGAGCACCAGGAACAAGAGGTCGCACGGCAAGCTACCCTTTCCGCTGCCTCTTGGCCAACTGGCAGGAGTGCACCGACATGAGCACCTCGTGGTACCGCTTGAACAAGTGCGGGTTCTCCTCCTGGTCGGGCACTGGCTCCTGCCCGTTGATCCACTTACGTTCAGTCTCGGTGACACCTGGTGGCAACTCCTCAGCCCCCGCGATGTCTCCCATGGATTCGTCTTCTGGTCCGCCCCCGTCGTCAGCCTGACCAGGCTGCTTAGCAGCACCAGTATCAGCAGCCTCAGCCTTTGCTGCCCCTTCCTTAGCCTTGGCCTCCAGGAGGGACTCGAGCGTGGCGAAATTGAGGCCGAGGGACTGGATGTCACTGCCGACGGACTTGGCGATGCACTCCAACTGCACTCGGATGACGTCGAGGTTCGAGGCTGGGGCCGCTGGGCCCGCCACCGCAATCTTCCCCTGGAGCTCCAGGATCGTGGTCGCCAGCTCCTCCTTGCGCTTCGCAGCCTCATCCCTCTCCTTCTTGACCTCCAGCAGCATCTGGTTGGCATTCCTCTCGGTCTCGGCCAAGCGCTCAAGCTGCTTGTCGATCTGCCCCAGCTGGACCTGTGCCTCTCGCAGCTGTCCAGACAACGGCTTCGCCTGCGTGCGCTCCGCCTTGGCGTCCTGGATCTGCCTGTCGATGTCGGCCACCGCCTGGTCGAGGTGAGGCGCGTCACCCCCCCAATCCTTGGCGCACTGGACCAGGACCTTCCTGCGTTCCTCCAGCTTTTGCAAAGCCGTAGGCGCCTTGGCCTCCGCGGCCGCACGCCAAGGCCTGGCCGCCACCGGTGGGAAGGAGGTGCGGAACCACTGCCCCACCTCAGGCGTGGAAGTGACCTTGCCCTTGCCTTTGTACCCAGGGCGACCCGCGCCACAGGCACGGCAGGACGTACGCGTACTCCAGTTCGCACCTGTACCGCATGTCCCGCACGTCCATGAGTCACTCGGGCCCGCCCCCACCCAGGACGAGCCACCGCCTTTGCCTCCGACAGTCCACACCAGAGACGGCTTCTGCTTCTTGTTGCGCCGACCGCCGCCCTTGACCTCCCAGTCGTTCTCGCCGCCCGCCATCGGTGCGCCCCACGCGCCGACACGAGCCCACAAGGGCACTGGAGGTTGCTGCAGCGGCAGCTCTCGTGAATGCACGGAGGCTGAAAGCCTCCCGAGCACACCATCTTGAGCCAAAATGGCTACGGAAGAGGCCCCTAAGAGGCCCCAAGAGGCCCCCACGAGGCCCTCAGGAGGCTCCCAAGAGTCCCCCAAGCGGCCCCAGGAGGCCCCCCAAATGCCCCCCCGAGCGCCCCAGGAGTCCCCCAAGCGGCCCCAGGAACCCCCAAAGCGCCGCATTGACACCAGGCCCTCGGGCAAACGTCAGACATGAGACTGTATGGGCCGGCGGAATGAGCGAAGCGATTAAATAAGTAAAAGCTGTGAAACAACTATGGAACACGGCGCCCCTCCCCAACGAAAAGGGTTCCCTCTTCAGGGCCCCGACCGTAACTCTGCCCTGCACCCCCGCCGCGCCACCCGCCGGGGGCCGAGGCCGTGCGCTCGGCCAGCGGGGGCCCACGCAGGCCGGGGCGCCGGCGCCGCCCGCGTCGCGGTCGGCGCGGACGCCGCGGGCCGGGGCGGCGCGCGCCTCTTCCAACTTCCATGAAGTCGGGCCTGTCCCCCTAGAGTGAAGTCGGGCCTGTCCCTCTAGAGGGGGGATTTTGGGGGATTTTTTTTTAAAGTCCGAAAATATGCAGAAAAAGGGTCAACACATGATCCAGAAATCGTCCCCAGACTCTTGTTTGACTGTCCTGGAATAGTCCTCCTGTAGAGGGACAGGCCCGACTTGGAACTTCCAGCGCGGGTCCCGCGAGGAAGAGGGTTGTGAGGAACCAGCGGCGTTCCCTCGGAGCGACGATCAACGAGGGATCCCACGCAAAGGATCACCTGAGGTGCTGGCGTCGCAACGGTTTCACAACGCGCGTTCTCGCCCTCCGAGGAGGCCTTCTCTGGGGGAACGGGAAAGAGCAGAAACAGAAAAACTCGGAGGTCCGCGCGGATTCCTTGGACCCGCGCTAGGCCCGGGGGTCCAGCGCCGATCCAAGAAGTTCGCGCGGACCTCCGAGTTTTTATGTTTATGTCAATCTTCGTTCCCCTATTCTAAAGGGACCCTGGGGCACACAAATAAATACACACAATAAAAAGATTCCCCATATGTTCCCCACATTTTCTGGGTTTTTGTCTTCCCCCCACACTTCCCATATTTTCCTATATTTTCTGGGAATCGACGATTAATTGTGTCTGTGTGTTTTTCCCCCTCCTGATATTCTCATCCTCGTTTCCCCCCCTCGCTCGCCGCCGATCCTGCGCCTTGGCCACCTCGGCGTCGGCCTGCTTCACCACCGCCGTCGCCTCCCCCATGACCCTCTCGACCATCTCCTGCGGCGGAGAGGGCCCCAAGCCTGGCTTAGGGGGTGCCAGCCATCCTCACGGCGCATCGTTCTTCGGGGCCGACGTTTTGCCGGGCCGTCCCGTAGGCTCCGGCGGCGTCGGCGCGCGAAAAGGTTTTTGACACAGCGTCGATCGTTCAAACTTGAATCGATCGCGGCCCAGATCGTTCAAGGTCGGATTCTGTGGGGTTCAATGACGTCTTCGTGTCCCTCGATGCTTCCGCGTCGCGGAATTCAGCCCTGAACGCCTTCACCGGTGTCGCCGGCGCGCCATCGCCGCGTGAAGCTACCGTATGCTTTCGTGGTGGATCGTCGCCAGGACCCAGGGGCCAGCCAAGCGAAGTTTCGAGAGGGCTCTGTCGCTAGTGTGTCGTCGGCCAAGATGAAGCCAGGACGAGGACGAATTTGGGTGAGGATGTATCGAGGATCTCTGAGGTCCAGCTGCTCTGGATGATGCCTCGGGCGCCGCGGCCTTCTCAGAGCGTTCCAAAACGCGCTGGCGTTCAGAAGCGCTCAGGAACGGATTTATCCTCGTTTTAGCCCCGCCCGGCAAGGGCCAACCCAGCGACGGCTCGGGAGGGCTATGTCGCTGGTGTGTCGTCGGCGACTCCCGAGCCATCGGCACGCCAGACGTGGAGACCAGGGAAAACGCCCAATAGCAGATGTTGCCTGACTCTGGTAGCAGCTGCCGTTCACTTGGCAGCAGTCGCTGCAAAGCCGACATCAGGTCCTGTCCTCGTTCGCCTCGCCCCCTCCCGCATGTCATCCGACGAGGGCCGAACACAGGTACCTCGGGCACGAGCAGCTCAGCTCTGTGAGGGCAAGCGGATCCAGAGGGCGCATTGGGTGTCGATCGCTGCCGTTCCAGAGGCCTCCAGAGCAGAACTCTCCTGCGATTGTCCGGTTTTCGACCTCCCAGGTCCTGCTCTTCCTTCCTCCTCTTCTCCTCCTCCTGTCGCCTCTTCTCGTCCTCCTCCCTCTTCTTGAGGGTGGCCTCGACCTGCCTCTGCGCCTGGAGGGGGGAGGCGGGGAGGATGAGCATGAGAAGGACGAGGGGGAGAGGAGGAACGAAACGGGACGGGACGTTTGCGACCCTGAGCATTGGCTCCTGTGGTTAAGCTCCCTTGGCTACTGCAGCTGAGAAAAACATGAGAGGATCTCCGAATAGCCGCGGGGCTATAGCCTGCAGCCTCGCTGGGGAGGGAGCCAGGGAGATGAAGAGCAGCATGACGAGCATGAGCAGAGGGCGAACGAGCAGCCGCAGGAGGTGAACAGGGGGGGGGAGCACGACGACAACGACGACTCCGACGGACGACGGCGGAAGAGTCGGGAGGGGCGTCCCCTCCCCCCCTGTGTTGCAACGGGGGGGGGCCCGTTGGCGCCGGCGCTGGCGCCGGCGCTGTCGGGCAGCGACAGCGACGACGACGACGACGACAACGACGACGACGACGACGACGACGGACGACCACGACGGACGACGGACGACGGACGACGGACGACGACGGAGTCGGGAGCAGGATGTGCCTGCTGGAGGGCCTGCTCTACCTCCTTGGACACGTACTCCACCTGGCTGCCCATGGCGTTCAGGTTGGCGGCCTGCACTGTCCTCCTGCTGCTGCTGCTCCTCCTCCTCCTCCTTCTCCTCATCCTCCAGAGTGAGGAGGAAGGGGGAGAGGGAAGGGGGATGAGGGAGGAGAGAGAGGAGAGAGAGGAGAGAGGAGGAGGAGGAGGAGGAGGAGGAGGAGGAGGAGGAGGAGGAGGAGGAGGAGGAGGAGGAGGAGGAGGAGGAGGACGATGATGAGGATGATGATGATGATGATGATGATGATGATGCTGATGATGATGATGATGATGATGATGATGATGGGGAGGAGGAGTAAGAGTAAGAGTAAGAGTAAGAGTCCCATGATGTTGTCCTAAACGGAACCTCTCGCCTTCCTGAGCTCAGTGGGCGATGACCACGGAGATGTGAAGCGACGTCGCCTGCGGGAAAAGACAACCTCGAACAACAAATCACCACATTACAAGTACATCATCAAGCCGTCTGGTAGCCCTGTACGTGGACTGCGCGAAGTTGGCGCGCGCGTAGCCCGCCCTGTGCTGCGGGGGCAGCGGGGGTCCTGGCTGGCTGCTCGCGGCTGACGGGATCACCCTCGCGACGTGCTTGACCACCTTGGCTGCCTGCGTCGGCACGCCATCTGGGCCCGCTGGCCTTGCGCGGGCGCCATGGTTGTTAGGGGAACGAAGAATGACATAAACATAAACATTCGGAGGTCCGCGCGGATTTCTCGGATCGGCGCTGGACCCCCCCCTGGCGCGCGCAGCGCGCCAGGGGCGGCGCCGGAGGCGCCGCCAGGGGGGTCCAGCGCGGATCTGAGAAATCCGCGCGGACCTCCGAGTTTTTTTACGTTTCTGTCATTCTTCGGTCCCCTAATGGTCGGCGTCGCAACCGCCCGCGTCGTCTGGGTCGGTCTTCTTGCCGGGCTCCGCGAGGGCGGCGCGATCCGCGAGGTGCCCTGCGCGGCGCCTCCTCCGCCGCCTCCTCCTCCGACAGGTCGGGCGCCTGGTGGGTCGCCGCCTCCCCGGCGGGTGCCCCCTCGCAAACTGCAGCGGGCGCCGCTGGCATTCTTGCCCTGGGCGCGGGGCTCCGCCGCGCGGGGAGGCGCAGCTTCCAGTGCTGCGGTGGGCGCGGCCCACGGGGCCAGCGGCCTGAGCGCCTCGGGGCGCGGCGCGAGCCCCCCCGCGGGGCGACCGCTGCGACGCCGTCGCGCTGCCCTGCAGGGGGCGCATCCGCCGCGCTGCCCTGGCGCGGCGGTGGCGACCGCTGCCTGCGAAGCGCCGTGGAAGATCGCCGCCGCCGCGCCCTGGCCGAACGTGGTCGGGCACGCCCCGCGCACTGCTGACGGTGTGACCGCTGCTGACGGCGCGAACGATGCGTTGGGCTGGGATGTCCTGGAGCGCCGCCAAGTGCGGCTGCTCCTTAACACCTCGGGGTCATTCGACCTCCCACGCGTCGCCAGACGGCCCCTCCTCGTCGCGCGCCTCCGCGGGCCGCGGCTCGGCGACGATGTCCGAGGGGTCGCTGCGCAGCCAACTCGCGCGGTGCCCCATGGCAGCGGACTTACTTGTTGCGAGGCCTTTCTTGGCTTGGAGGCGCAAAGCCACCCAGTGGCTACTCCCCGTGCCAAAGGCCGAGTCCGCGGCGATCACGGCGGTGACGTTCCCTTGCGCCGCCTCGCCCAGCGAATGCATTGCCAACTTTGCGGCTCGATCGACGACGACTCGAATCGCTACTCTCTGGAAGCGCGCCGCCCTCGAGCGAGTCGATCTCGCTTTCCGCCATGAGCTTTGGGGGCGCATTTGTCTCTCGCTTGCGCTTGCCCAAGCCATCGAGCATGCCTGCTCTGAGGCTGACTGCAGCGCGTGATGCTGCGGCCTGATTTGTCGCCCACTGCCCCCGCGCATGGGCCTTGAGATCGCGTTCGCGAGCTGCGCCGTCTACTCGATCTCGGCCCCTGGCAGGCCATGGATTTCCGCGGCCACGGCGTCATGTTGGCGCCGGGCGCAATCGCCTGGATCACGCCCGCGCCGGATCTGGGCGGGGTCGCGGGGCCTGTCGCGGTCAATCCGACCGTGCCCCCCCCGCGCCCCACGGACGCCGCTCAGATCCGCCGGCGCCCTCCGCCCGCCTTTCGGCAAGTGGTGCAGACGGCAGACGCGATAGCTGTGATCTCCGAATGTTTCTGCTCTCCTCCAGCAACAGACAATCAACTGGCACGTAGTGCAGTGTGTCCAAATTACCATCTGGCCGGCTGCATTGCGTGCAACGCGTTGCCAAATACAGGTGCCGTGGGGCGCGCTCACTCTTGATCGCAGCATGCGTCGCAGACGCAACGGTGAACTGCGAGAGCGCGTCTGTGCGCGTGAACATGGGCGCCGTCCACGTCTCCTTTGCCCCCGTCCATCTTCCTCGTCGCAGCCCTGAACTCCTCGTGGACCTTATCCGCCTATGCAATGTGGGCGGGCGCGCGCGATGCCGCGCGCAACCCCCCGCGCGCCCCTGCCCGGGCAAGCGCGCGCGGTGCGTCAGCTCCCCGTGCTCCATCGGACGAGACCACCCGCCCCACTGCGCGAGCGAAATCTTGCGAGGCCGTCGCCCTCGCCATGTTAGCCTGCTGCGGTCTCTCCCGGCGGTCGCGCTTGATGTCGGCGCGAGGCTGCGCGCCCATCTGGCGAGCTTCCGCCACCGTCGCCATGGGTGGGCCCGCGGTGCTGAAGCAGCTGGGCGACGCGCTGCGACTGCCCCTGACGCGTATCTGAATCCCACCACGAAGTATCGAACATCCAACAAGTGCCCCCCCCCACCCCCCGCCGCCCGTCAACCTCGCTGTCCTCGAGTGGGGGGAGGAGTGTGGGAGGGGCCATGACAACCAAATGCGTTATGTGGTTCTGGGACCGACAGGCGCGAACACGCGCGCGTGTGCACGCGAATGCAAGCTTCTACAGATATAACGCATGCGTAAAACGCGCTACGCGCTCGGAGGGCCGCCCCCTGACGCTGCGCGCCGTAACTGCGGGCGCGTTGTCCCCGCATGCCAGACTCGTGCGCGCTCATGCTCATAAGGCCCACGCGAGGTGGGGACAACCCCATATGATCTGGCCGCGTGCTCAGCGTGTGACCTCTGGGTGACAGACTTTGAGGGCCCTGTTCGACGTTCTGAGCACTGCGCGGCTGCCGACGCGCGCGCTCATGAAATCCTGGCCAAGCCCTTTCCCGTCCAGCGCTGAAGGATTAACGGTCACGCGTGAGGAGGCTCGTTCGTGTCGCGAGAAGAAGCGTACTCGGGGCCTGAAAGGCAATTTCGCTAACAAAGCCCCTTACAGGGTGGTGGGGCTGCCTGTGGTGCTTAGCTGGGCGGGGCCTCCACCTCTCTCTTTGTCCTGCCCCCTGTTGCTTGTTACCTCTTCTACTCCCCCTTGGTCCCCGCCTTTGCTGAGGCGTCTACTCCCCGCTGCCAATGTCAGAGGGCCCTTTGATAGTCGCGGCTCCTCAGGGCTACGTTTATAATTCCACTAGCCCTGTGGGCGAAGGTAATCTAATGAGTTTCCTCGTTCAACCCCCCTATCCCTCCGGGGCAGGGCTAACCGGGTTTACCCCTCCTCCCTGCCCCCTCCCCTGGACCTGGACGGGGCGCTCCGCGAGGTGTCAGACGACACTTTTTCGCCCAAGATGGCTCCAAGAGGGCCTCAGAGAGCCCAAGATGACTTCCCAAATGGCTCAAGATAGCCCAAGATGCCGCAAGATTGCTCCCAAAATGCTCCGAAGGGCCCAAACACGTTCCAAGACGGCTCCAAGAGGCCTCCGAGGCCTCCAAGGAGGCCCCCGATAAGCCAACATCCTTCAAAAGCCATAAGACATCAATGATTGTTGCGTTCTCGCCTTCTCGCTTCCGATGGCCATCTGAAGCCTCAATCTGGTTCCACGATGGCCCAAGAGAGCCCCAGGAGAGGCCCAAGAGAGCCCCCAAGAGCGCTCCAAGAGGGGTTCAGGAGGCGATGTTCGGTGCTCCCGAGGGGGGGGCTAATTGGAGCTCCCCCCTTTTGTTATCGATGGCCTCCAAGATGGCCACAAGAGCGCCCCTAAAGCTCCCAAGAGCGGCCCAGGAGGGCCCCAGGAGGCGCCCAGACAGCCACAAGAGGCGCCCAAGGGGACTGAGACCCTATACGAAGCCTCAAGAGGATCCCCGAGGTACCCGACTCTCCCTCCTCCTCCTCCTCCTCCTCCTCCTCCTCCTCCTCTTCCTCCTCGTTCTTCTCGTCCTCCTCCTCCTCCTCCTCCTCCTCCTCCTCCTCCTCCTCCTCCCTCCTCCTCCTCCTCCTCCGGGAACATTGGCGCTTTCCCCTATGCGCAATAGCTTTGGTGACGACTCGTACAAGCAACGGGTTGGATTCTGGACGAAAGCCGTCAACAACGTTTTGGTGTGATGGGCCGATTATCCACCACCGCTACCATAGGTAGCAGCGGGAGGAGGAAACGGAGGAGGAGGAGGAGGAGGAGGAGGAGGAGGAGGAGGAGGAGGAGGAGGAAGAGCAGGAGGAGAAGGACCTCCCCATCCTCCCTTCTCCCCCGTCCTGCATATGGTAGTGGTGGTGGAAGATTGGCCCATCGTGGTGGGGGCTTTGGTATATGTGTGTGTGTGTGTGTGTGTGTGTGTGTGTGTGTGTGTGTGTGTGTGTGTGCGCGACCTCTCTTCCCACCTTCTGACCCGACAAACTCGAGGGCTCATGAGCCCTTTGCCGTGATCCCTCCTCCCTTTGGGGGGGCCAAAGCCATGGGGGAGAAGCGATGCATACGGATCCAGAGGGGCAGCACGGCCTTCTTGGGGCCAGCTACAGTCGGACCTGGGCAAGAAGAACACCCTTCAAGAACATGGGGCCCTCCGTCGCCCAAAACAAACAGAACATCCGAGAGTATCCTCCCCAGGATTCACAAGAACATCCAACAGACACGAAGAACCTTAGGAGACCCTCCCCGAACCGACTTCGACCTTGCACCCGGGTCCGACTCTATCCTTCTGCACCAGGCTCGGAAGAGAGGCGCGCCCGCTTGCTGGCTGCTTGCTGGTTGCCGGTATGCCCCAGAGCGAGGGGGGGAGTGTGGCACCCACCCTGGCATTCCCTCTGACATTTGGTCTTGCATTGCTCGTGCTCTTCTTGCTGCTGTCCTGCCGTGGAAGCTCTCAACGGCACGACCTGTGAGTGGATCGGACAGTCTGTGCCCACTGAGGTGCTTCCGCTTCGCCGGAATGCTGACGCGGCGTGCCTGCTTCGCGCTGGGGGGGCGGCGGAGGCTGCGGAGCCGCACCTGCAACTATCGTGTATGCGCACTGCCACGCCCTTTTCCTCGCATGCCCTGTGCTGCCTTAAGTAGCCGACCGGCCGACAAGTGAGGAGGAAAGAGGAGGACGAGGAGGAGGAGGAGCAGGAGGAGGAGGAGGAGGAGGAATCGAGAGGGAGGGAGGGAGGGAGGGAGGAGGAATCGAGAGGGAGGAGGGAGGGAAAAGAGGAGGAGGATGAGGAATCGAGGAAGGAGGGAAGGAGGAGGAGGAATGAGCGAGCAGAGCGCGGGGAGAGAGGGAGGAGCGAGAGAGTCAGAGTGGGAGGGAGGAGTGCGGGCAAGAGGGGCCTTCCGTCCCTCTCCTCCCTCCTCCTCCTCCTCCTCCTCCTCCTCCTGCTCCTCCTCCTCCTCCTCCTCCTCCTCCTCCTCCTCCCTTCTGGACAACTCCTCCGTGTCGCACTACTGGGCGTGTCAGTGGGCCGGCCCGGGCGCTTTGATTGATAACCCCCTGCAGGTCGCAACCCTGCAGCGTAACACATCCGGCAATTGCACGGACGGGGACCAGCACCTTTTCAAAATGGAGCTCCCGCCTGGGCGTAGCGCATGTTGGTCTTAAAAGCCAGCACGTGTAATAGCTGCGCATATGGAGGGCGTCCTTTTCACGAGGGGGCTCTCCCAGGGGACTTCCTCGACTTGAAAGTTCAGGAGAGGCAGGCATGCGCATCAGTTACACGCACGGGTGGTGGCTCCTATTGGAAGCGGGGTTTCTCACTGGCCACCTCGCTGAATTACAAGTCGTTCATTTCTAATCGTGCTCATTTCGAAGTGTGCTCGTTTCAAATCGTTCCCGGCCCCCTAGTGGCCAGGAAGAGGTCCAGGATAGAACACTTAGACATGAAAGGATCTTGCCCCCCCCAACAAAAATCAAAGAACTTTCGCCACCTTAGAAATGAACAATGTGCACATGGTCATGTCTTGCTGCATGCCTCGATTGCCAACGTGAGGCATGCTTGCTCCTTGCCAGGACCGGCTTCCGCCTGAGGGGCAGGCCCGCAGGGTGCTCGTCTCTCAAGCTGGCTGGCTCGTCCTGCGGCGAGAGGGGAGGCCTGCAGAAACGCTTGAGGAGGAGACCTAGAACGGGAGCGTGCAGTGCAGCATCTTCGGCTCGTCCCAGGTTTCCTTTGTTCCTCCTCCTCCTCCTCCTCGCCCTCCTCCTTCTCCTTCTCCTACTCCTCCTCCCTTTCCCCTCCTCTCTGCTCCAGGTGTGCGGCCTGGGTCTCCTCCAGTTCCTTGCTGAGCTTGTCGAAGTTCTCGGGGGTGGCGGCGCGCATCTTCTGGATGACCTTCCGCACCGCCATCGCCGCGTTGCCCTCCCTCCGCTTCTGCTCCTCCTGAGGGAGGACGCTTCTGGTCCAGCGCAGTTTTTCTTAGAGAGGTGGAGTGAAGGAGCGGGAGGGAGACGCGAATAACCGAAGATCGACCTCCTCGGGGAGGACGCATGCTGTCCACCCACACCGACCCTTGCCAGCCCGAGATCCTGGGCCCGGGATCGGTGGCTGCTCCTTAATGGCCCATACCCAGGCCAAGTGGACGCGCTCCGTGGGCCCAGGCTAGAGGCCTCCCAGATGGGGTCCGAATAGATGGGGTCGAAAGACCGCGCCGCATCACCGATGCATCGCCGATGCATCGGCGATGCCTCGGCGATGCCTCGGCGATGCGTCGGCGATGCATCGGCGACGTCGCCGTGGGGAAACACGGTCTCCACATCGAGCCGCATCGCCGATGCGGCGGGATCCTCTGGCCCCATCCACTCGGACCCCATCGAAAAAGGGGAGCTGCACACCGCTTCCGGGCCCGAGGCCTGGCTCGGCCGAGCTCGGGGCAGGCGGCTGCGGCAGCTTTTCCTGCCAGGGAGGCGTGGGCCCTGGCTCTTCTGCCGCCCCCCCCTCGGGCCCTCCAGCCTCCAGAAGAGACCTCCGCCGGCGGGCACCCTGCTTGGGGCGGAGGGGGAGGAGGCAGAGGAGGCAGAGGAGGAGGACGAGGAGGAGGCAGAGGAGGGGGAGGAGGAGGCAGAGGAGAAGGAGGAGGAGGAGGAGAAGGAGGAGGGGGAGGATTTTAGGATTCTAGGATTCTTGGTTGGCCCCGCGCGCGCCCTCATAGGGGCGCGAGGTCCAGGCATAGAAAACAAGCAGCGACCAGCGACGACGGCGACGGCGGCGGCCGAGGCGGCGACGGCGGCAACGACACGACAGACGACCGACGGGCCACCCGCAGCGTCGCGACCGGCGACGGCGGCGGCGGCAACACGGCAGCTGCCGCTCGCGCGGGGCGGGTGCGGGGAGGCGCCTCTGGCGCGCCGCCCCCATTCCCGCGCAGAGCCAAGGCAGAGAGGCACGGCCCTATAAGTGACACCAGTGGCCGAATGACCCTGAACAGCAAGAGATCCGATAGGATCCGAATACACATAAAGTTGTATCCCAAATTGCCCTGCTTACAAGGACGATATGGGCATGTGGAGCCCAGGGTACATGCCCTGAGGGAGCTTTACAGATGTCATTCGATCATATACTTCCAACATGGGGATAGCCACCGTTCCGATTGCAACATTTGTGCGTGGGTCACAGCCCGCCAAGAGACGACCCAGCCGCCTTCGAGAGATATCGGCAGTAACTCTGTGGCGACATATCCGTTTGAGATTTTTGACATTAGTGAAACTGTAGGCCGCACAGAGGCGGCAAAATACATGATCCCGTCATTCTTAGAGAATGGCCGTAACCATCAGGGGCGGGACAACTCCTACTAGCAAGGGAAAGCTTGGTGTTGCTAGAAGCCCAACAAGTGTGGCATCTGCAACGCTTCAGGCGCCGATCCCAAATAATCTGGTGAGGAAAATCTCGGGGAGGGGCAACTACAGAGAGTGTGGGGGGGAGAGGGGCCTCACTCGCTGGTCTCTGGTTGCCCTAGGGTAGCGTAGCCACTGCTGAAGAAGCAGCGTAGCCGATGTACTTGGCCAGGAGGGTGACAACTTCTCGGGACCGCGTTACCCTTGCAAGAACGGCCTCGTCGCTGGGATGCATGGCTGCTCCTTTCTTCGCGCACTCGTCAACGACCTTGTTAGCCCTGGTACACCATACCGGCTGCCGTTCGTCCTGCTCAGACAGGTGGGAGACAATCTTATGAAGGTATATATATACATGTATAGATACTGTGATCTCCAATATCGTCTGCTGCATTGTGTATCCGAATGCAAATATCAGAGTGCACAGCCCATCCACCGGTGGAGGCAGACCGAGGAAGGGCGAGAAAGCATCCAAGACCCACTGGCAATCCCTTAGTGGGCCCTGGAAACGACAGGGCCGTTGTTTTACCGGTTCCGCTTTGCAATTTTTGTTGCCGGTTCCGACGCCGTTTTTTTACCGGTTCCGTCGCCGTTGTTTGACCGGCTCCGGCTCCGGCTCCAATCCAGGAGCCGTTATTTTGCCATTTCGGGTCGCCATTTTTTTGCCGGTTCCATTTTCAAGGGGCATTTTTTTGGGCAGCGGTGAAGAAACGTCCCTGCCGCTTCTGGGGCCCACAACGGGCAATCCCCATAGTAATGGTACTGCCCTCCTTCTTCCGGCGCTGCGTTCAACAAGAACGCATGGAAAGCAGAAGCCTCTGACGCAGGAGCTGCCTGGACCGGCCCAGGAAAAAGGACCACACAGAGTCGTATGAGCGTTTCCAAAAAGATCGACAGCAGCAACAGCAAAACCACAACGGATCGTCCAGAGAGACGGCCCATGGATGCCAGACCCATCTCCGAACACAGGTGAGGTTAAGACTTGACCTTGACATCCGACTCGCTCCCATACAAACTCTTCATCAAACAATGCTGCTGGAAACAAGCGCTCGGGATCAGGTACTAGCGCCGTGTACCAGACAGGGTCATCCGGATGACCGTCGCGAACTCTCAAAGTCCCAATAGGCATACCAAAGGTCTGCCGATACTGTCGAGTACCAACGCAATCCCACAACATATGACACTGCATGTGCTGGATCATCAGCTAGATGGCCACAGAAAGTACACTGAAGCGGGATGTGCAATGCTCCTGACATAATCGTTTTAAAAGCAATTTTAGAAAAGGACCCAAAGCATGGCGACTCTTTGGTGAGGAGGGTCCTGAGAGGAGTCAGGAACGGAAGGCCCACGAGGTGCTGTAGGAGAGGGTGCTGGGGAGTGCCATGCCTCAGCGTCCCGAGCGATTAGTGCAGACAGGTCGCGAGGAGCCACCCGTGCAATATCAACTGACATCCCAGAAGCTGTGAGCCATGTTGTAGGAGTAGCTGGAGACCACCCCAATCTCAATAAGGTTGCAACCACTGCGGATGCTTGGCCGTGCAAATCACACCAAGGCGTTTCGGCGGTGACGTTACGAGTCGCCCGTAGCGCTATAGCAAAACCTCGTCGAGCAGCGATGCCGGCAAAACTCCATTCCAACGAGAAGCCGCCCACATGGTCAGAACCTCTGTGTGTGCCAGTACTGCTGGGTGTAGCACGCGATCGAGGGCTAGGTCCATAGTGACAGACCTATGTACACGCGTGCCAAGTGCTGTATGATAATGCTGCTTGAGTTCGCGTATGTGTTGCGTGGAAATACCAGTGACCCCAACGCCATACATTGCTGTCGAACCGAGCGCAGGTCGCAACATCGGCTGGATTCGCCCGCCAGCTCTGCGGAGGTTGCGAATGCGTTTGGCACGCTTGGCAGTCTCTTTAAGACGATCCTTCCTGACGCGTTGGACATCGGCCCGGGATGGCCGCACAGTATAGTCAATACCAAGATTCCGCGCCGTACGTGGCAGCGAGGCCTGCGAGAGATCTGGCGCACGGGTCACAACGTCCTTCGCTAGTTCAGGGTCCGTGGTAAGGAGAAACAACCTCGTGGGGTCAAGCGACGCAGTTAAACCAGCGGCCTGAAGTGCCCGAATTAGGTCGGTAGCAGCCTTGGGCGCGCGTTCCAACACAAAGCGTAAGGTCCCAAGAACATTCAACTGAACATCATCAGCAACTACCCCAAAGAAAGCGTACGGATTTTGCTGGGCTAGGGGATCCATGCCAGGGATCAGCATAACTCTCATCAGCAAGTCGGCAAAACCACATCCAACAACAATAGTTTGTGTAGCCTGCACCGTGCGACCTGGCATACTATACAGAAGAAGCGTAGCAACGTCAGGTTAAAATCTAACATGATAGCCCGAACAACTAGAATATGATGCAATACGTGTTCAAAAGCCTTCATGATGTCGACGAGGAGGCTGCAAGATACCCACCCCCGTGCATGAGCAAATTCCGTAAGCACAGCCTGCCGCCAGACACACTGAATTGAAGACTTCCCAACTACTCCGAAAAAATACGGACGATCGTGTTCACGAGCCCACTGCGCCCCCCATGACCGTCGAAGCCACCTGGTGAACGAACCGATGTTGAAAACACAGCAACAAGTCGATCACCAGGGGCAGGGTTCGGGACGAGAGACAACAGGATATGGGCGAAGACTGGTGGCACAGAGCTCATTCGCAACGTGGCTCGCCATAGCGTCACCAGCGCCTGAAGTGCTGAATCAGACAGCTGTTCAAGGTGCCGGGGACGAATGTGATCACAGCCTACTGCCGTGCGTGCCTTGTATTTTTTGAGATCTGTCGTAAATTCGACGACGTTGGGAAAGTGAGCTGGTCCAGCTGCTCAGCCGTCAACCGGGGGAAATCTGGAGGGTCATGTGCCTTATCCACGCCCCAAACATTGTGCCAATACTCTTCACGACAATGAAGATGATGTTGAGGAGATCCGATGGGGGCCTCTGAATCCAACTCGGGGTCCACATCGAGCAGTTGCCCAAACGGCCTCCCCCGGGTAAATTTGTAAGCAGCAGCCGAACCCTTTGACGTTTCGGCGAGAACCCAGTCACACCACTGCTGGTGTCGAGCCTTCGACGATCACGTTTCGGCATGCCCGGCCATTTCATCCAGCTGGGCGACGAGAGAATTCACTGCATCATCAGACACAGCAGGAAGACATCGAACTTGCTCGCACCACCAATCCCATTCCAGGGGGCACGGACCTTCTCGAGGATTGGGGTGATATCGGCGCACCTTGCAAGCGCACAGATAAGCATTGGTTTTCAAATCATTAGAACGAAGATGCAAGACCAAGGATGAACACATAGACAGGTACCTCCATAACCGACCAGCGAAGGTGGTCTGAGGATGGCCCCAGCAACGTGTGACAAGAGGAACCTGGAAAATTGAAAGCGGCTGGCCCCATTGCCCGTGTAGCTCAGAAGTTCCTTAGCGGACACCTTAGCCCAGCGAGACGCGGCATCTGCTAGACTGTCAGGGTCGTTGAAACCAGCAA